AAGAAGAAGTACATTAAGGTCCTGGAGTGGCCTAGCCAGTCTCCAGACCTTAATCCCATAGAAAATCTGTGGAGGGAGCTGAAGGTTCGAGTTGCCAAACGTCAGGCTCGAAACCTTAATGACTTGGAGAAGATCTGCAAAGAGGAGTGGGACAAAATCCCTCCTGAGATGTGTGCAAACCTGGTGGCCAACTACAAGAAACGTCTGACCTCTGTGATTGCCAACAAGGGTTTTGCCACCAAGTACTAAGTCATGTTTTGCTGAGGGGTCAAATACTTATTTCCCTCATTAAAATGCAAATCAATTTATAAAATTTTTGACATGCATTTTTCTGGATTTTGTTGTTGTTATTCTGTCTCTCACTGTTCAAATAAACCTACCATTAAACTTATAGACCGATCATGTCTTTGTCAGTGGGCAAATGTACAAAATCAGCAGGGGATCAAATACTTTTTTCCCTCACTGTATGTTCCGGGATTCATCTGATGGCATTGAGGAGTATACCACATCAGTCACCGGCTTCATCAATAAGTGCATCGATGACGTCGTCTCCACAGTAACCGTACGTACATACCCCAACCAGAAGCCAGGCAACATCCGCACTGAGCTAAAGGGTAGAGATGCCGCTTTCAAGGAGCAGGACTCTAACCCGGAAGCTTACAAGAAATCCCACTATGCCCTTCGACGAACCATCAAAAGCGCCAATACAGGACTAAGATTGAATCCTACTACACCGGCTCTTACGCTCGTCGGATGTGGCAGGGCTTGCAAACTATTACGGACTACAAAGGAAAGCCCAGCCGCAAACTGCCCATCCGCAAGCTGCCCAGTGACACAAGCCTATCAGACGAGCTAAATGACTTCTATGCGCACTTTGAGGCAAGCAACACTGAAGCATGAATGAGAGCACCAGCTTTTCTGGACGACTGTGTGATAACGCTCTCCGTAGCTGATGTGAGTTAGACCTTTAAACAGGTCAACATTGACAAGGCCGCAGGGCCAGACTGATTACCAGAATGTATACTCAGAGCATGCACTGACCAACTGGCAAGTGTCTTCACTGACATTTTAAACCTGTCCCTAACCGAGTCTGTAATACCTACATGTTTCAAGCAGACCACCATAGTCCCTGTGCCCAAGAACACCAAGGTAACCTGCCTAAATGACTACCAACCCATAGCACTTTGAACGGCTGGTCATGGCTCACATCAACACCATCATCCCAGAAATCCTAGACCCACTCCAGCTCGCATACCGCGCCAACAGATTCACAGATGACGCAATCTCTATTGCAATCCACACTGCCCTTTCCCACCCGGACAAAAGAAACACCTACGTTTGAATGCTGTTCACTGCCTACAGCTCAGTGTTCAACACCATAGTGCTCTCAAAGCTCATCACTAAGCTAAGGACCCTGGGACTAAACACCTCCCTCTGCAACTGGATCCTGGACTTCCTGACGGGCCACCCCCAGGTGGTAAGGGTAGGCAACAACACATCTGCCACGCTGATCCTCAACACGGGGGCCCATCAGGGATGTGTGCTTAGTCCCCTCCTGTACGCCCTGTTAACCCACGACTGCGTGGCCAAGCACGACTCCAACACCATCATTAAGTTTGCCGATGACACAACGGTGGTAGGCCTGATCACTGACAACGATGAGACAGCCTATAGGGAGGAGGTCAGAGACGTGGCAGTGTGGTGCCAGGATAACATGATCAAGACAAAGGAGCTGATCGTGGACTACAGGAAAAGGAGGGCCGAGCACGCCCCCATTCTGATCGACAGGGCTGTAGTGGAGCAGGTTGAGAGCTTCAAGTTCCTTGGTGTCCACATCACCAACAAACTATCATGGTCCAAACACACCAAGACAGTTGTGAACAGGTTACGACAACGTCTATTCCCCCTCAGGAGACTGAAAAGATTTGGCATGGGTTCTCAGATCCTCAAAAAGTTATACGGCTGCACCACCAAGAGCATCCTGACTGGTTGCATCACCGCCTGGTATGGCAACTGCTCGGCATCCAACTGCAAGGCGCTACAGAGGGTTTTGCGTATGGCCTAGTACATCACCAGGGCCAAGCTTCCTGCCATCCAGGATCTCTATACCAGGCGGTGTCAGAGGAAGGCCCTAAAAATTGCCAAAGACTCCAGCCACCCTAGTCATAGACTGTTCTCTCTTCTACCGCATGACAAGCAGTACCAGAGCGCCAGGTCTAGGTCCAAAAGGCTCCTTAACAGCTTCTACCCCCAAGCCATAAGACTGCTAAACAGCTAATCAAATGGCTACCCAGAATATTTGCATTGACCCCCCCTTTTATATGCTGCTGCTACTCGCTGTTTATTATCTATGCATAGTCACTTTACCACTACCTACATGTACATATTACCTCAATTACCTCAACTAACCTGTACCCCCACACATTGACTCAGTACCAGTACCCCCTGTATATATAGCATCGTTATTGTTATTTTATTGTGTTACTTTTTTTTACTTTAGTTTATTTTTCTTACAACTGCATTGTAGACTACGGGCTTGTAAGTAAGCATTTAATGGTAAGGTCTACACCTGTTGTATTCAGTGCATGTGACAAATACAATTTGATTTGATTTATCCAATGTATGCACCACACAGAACGCACTGCAACTGCCTCTGCAATGGAATGTTGCAAGGCAAATGCAGCATTCCCTTGGAAATGAATGTACTTCTGGTATACCAAAACGCAATCACTCTGTAGGTGTGATCGAGGCGTTACTGGGCCATGGCTCCGGTGGCCCTGCTCTCATGGGGCCAAAGTCAGGCCACTGGTACTTTTCAGCTGCATTTGCATAACAATGGCTAATGCAGAGGTTGTTAATTCTGCTCTTCACAAGTCCTCACTGTCAGACATATAGCTATGGAAACACAATTTCCCTAGTATAACATATGGGTGCACTAGTGTAACAATGTTACAGCAGAAAAGCAGGAACAGTGGCACATCCATAGATAGCCTATTCTTATTCATTTCTATGGGCTTATTATAGGCTACTGAAACTACTTCATTTTGACTGATGCTGGGTTCAAACACTAAACCGGTCTGGGAAAAATCACTGTTTGGGGTGATTTACTAAATATCCTCCAGTTGAAACCATAAACATTTGAATGCCCCCTTGTGGACGTTTGCTTCTTAGTGAAAGTATGTCATTTCCACAGGCCATCTTTTCTTATTGGCAGTCAATAAATGTGGCCATCCTGATCACCAGTTGGTAACTGGGCTACACAATTCATGAATTACATTTCCGGATTGTTACTGTAGACTGTAATAGGCCTAATTATGTATTAGGTCATGCTAGGAAGTGTGTGTGTGTGTGTGTGTGTGTGTGTGTGTGTGTGTGTGTGTGTGTGTGTGTGTGTGTGTGTGTGTGTGTGTGTGTGTGTGTGTGTGTGTGTGTGTACGTGTGCGTGTACTTGTTTACAAGCGCGCAACGTGATAGAAATTAGTTGACGCGAGAAACTTGGAATGTCCCTTAGATGAGCCAATTATCACAAACAAAGTCCTCAAGTGCCTGCTTGTATGACTTTTTACAGAGTTGGAAAAAGTCACACTTATTATAGCCACGATACTGTCTCTGAATCTTGATCAAAGAAGAACAATTTAGACCAGAGAATGTCAAAAAGTGAGCTCTAGGAGGCCCATATAGGGGACACATGAAAATGTCTGAAAGAAATGGGCTACAATCGGTATCCAACTGATTTTTGCACCAATGCATTGGTTCAGTTTTTTATAGCCCACTGTAAATCGAGGCTTACGACAAATCACAATGCCAAAAAACAATTAACTTGAAGTAAATAAGCGTACTATTTTAATGGAATGATCTAATGAATGTGTTGTTGTAGAGGGTAAAATAAGAGGAGAGCCTTCAGTAAGGAACTCTACCAGTTTGAGGCACTAAAATTGGAATACTTTGTTTGGAGAACAAGGGACACTGTTCTTTTGCGCGCTTCGGCTGAGGGAACATGTGGAAGTAATCGCGCTAAGCGGCTGGAGAGTTGTGTTTCTCTGCAATGGGTGCGCTGCGGGACGGGCCGGGCACCGCTGGAAGTGCCGCTGAGATAAGGGTTGGGAGACAGGGGTTGGGGGTGGTCAGCCCCGGGGCTCCGCTCCATGAAAACCGGACTGGTCGGCTGACCTGGCTCCACATCGCTGAGTGCAGTGAGATAGGTAATTCATAAAGACTCTTTATCCCAGGCTGGTGTGGCTGTTAGGACAGCCTCAGGGCCGGGGGAGAGGGACTGGGGTCACAAAACACCTTCATAAAGTCGGCAAACAACAGAGGAAACAGTGTGCCAAAACGGGCAACAAACAAACATAAGTAACATTTATCCTTTTTTCTTTATAAGAAATTGCCCCAAAAATAAGAATGACTGGAAATTCCTCCCTCTTGGTGAAGTCTGTATGTTGTTGACTTGTGTAGTGCGTGGTGTTGGAGCGCCCCCTGTGGGCAATGGAGGCTTGGACGTTCATGTTCCCAAGTTTCAGGTTTTGAAAAGTGCCAATGAACAGAGCACTAATGTTGGAACAAAACTCCATTCGGGTATTGTTACTATATAATTATATGTGTATACGAACAATAGCCTATGTTTATAAGAAGGCAAATACATTATATCTTAATAACTCATGAAACAACATTTGTTTGTACATTTTAGTGTTTCCTTTGTGTATTTGCGCAATGGTGAAATGCATTAATCTATTTGAAAACATCGTTAAATTTCGCTTGATAAGTTATATCGTTTGCTTTTCTTTGAAAATACGCTCGATATCGGATTTCTCTGCAGTTATTTCTCGTCCCTCTTTCCTACATCACTGCCCAGCAAATACATATGTGTCCCGCTCCAGTCGCACTGAGAAAACAGGACTTTTATTTTGAAAGGAACCCCAGCGCTGGAGCCTCCTGGAGGGGAGGAGAGGGGGGTCATTTCCTGAGAGTTATTTACTTTGAGCCAGATGATTAGTTTTTTGGAAAGGATGGGCTGTAACATTGAATCAATTACTGGTCGCTGTAGCTCAAGCGCATTGTGAGCGCGGCCGTGGACGCAGACGGAGGGGCGCACATATGCTAGCTCTCACTGTGAAGGATCGTGGCCATTGGATTACTACCACTGCAACACAATTGAGTAGAGCCTTAACTGAGCCGACCAGAGCGCTTTTATGCTCCTGATTTCATTCTATTGGGATTTATAATCAAGACACATAATCCAATCGGAATTTAAGAGGTTTGTATTTAAAACAAATTAGCAAATATTATTTGTTTTTGCAAAATGTATTTTATCAATACGCCTATTAATTGAGAGAATTTCAAATGTGCAAAAATGAAAAGGTTATCCAACTGCACAGCTTTTAGGCTAGTTCAATTTTTCCTCCTTAGTGAATAATCACGAAATAGCCTAGCTTCTTATTAGGATGGCACCATATTGTGAAAACCTTTACCGAGAAGAAATTATTAATCTGACCGGATCCATCCATCACACTTTGGGGGCTTTCATTACGAGGAAACGTTTCACCAAACTTCATGAAACTTTGAAGATGCATTAGCTTGCAGGCTATGGGTTATGCATAATGCATTATGATTTGAACGGGATTCAGTTTTCCATGAAACATATGGTCTCACCTCCGGATGCCTAACGGAGAGATATCGCTGACTCCGCTGGATAAAAGCGCTCAATTTCGGCCTCACAGCTGGAGGTGTCACCTCTAGGTTTGAGGGTCCATTGTGGGATGCTGCTGCCTGCCTTGCCATCTAATGGAAAACACATTGGAAATTGGATTTCAAGTTGTTTTCGTTATTGCGCTTAGAATGTGTGGAATTAAATGGAATATTGTGCCTAGCGATTTGCTTGCTGAGATTGGACGCAGGCTGTAGCCGAAGGGAATTCAACAGTAGACAGAAGGGTCTTTTCTTTTTGACCCACTAAAAAAAGTATAGTAGCCTATAGAGTGGACCCCATTCTTGGTTGGATGTAATTTCAGTGCACCAGACAACAAAATGCAAATAGCCTACATTTGCCACCAATACAATTATTCATAATTAGCCTACAATTTAATGATGGCTAATATAATATGCACAAAATATGTATGCATATGTGTTAAGATTGCAATAGAATAGAGTTGCGCGCTGCACGAATGTAACGGTCAAGTTAGATACAACTTTTAAAGTTTTCCATCAGTGAAACTCACTGCCTTGGACATTTTTTTGTTTGCTTGCCCCAATGCCCCTACCATCCTGCTATCTTTAGACATCTCTCTGCTATATTCTCATGGAAATCAATTCTGCACATGGGGGATTGAATTTAACAGTTTAAGTGTCTGTGGAGGACAGTGAGTTGAACAACCCTCTCTCAGCTGTTGCTCCAAAGTGTCAAGCCCAGCAGAAAGGAGCTTTTGGCAGGCTGCACATTTGCTGGGACTGTAGTGTTTGGTGTGGGCGAGAAAAGGACGGGAAGACTGACAAGCCCTACATTTGCACACCCGGCTGGAATACAAAATCCCTTACCCCAAAGGAGCCAGTTGAAACAACGATATGCGCAAACGTGTCAAAGTGTATTAGTCAGGATTCCCACGCGAATGTTTGTCATACAGACTTCTCTTCAGAGAGGGGTCTCTTCATTATAGTCCCTCTCTAACCCTGGGTTTGGTTTGCCAGGGATAATTAGCCTGTCCCGGATGAGATAGAGCAGACTACCACATATGACTCACTTAGGCCTACACTGTTAAAAGTAGCAGCAAACTGTTTTGAGACAATAGGGATTTTGATTATGGATTAAAATAATGTATTTTAATCGAGCCAATTGGAGATTAGAATTAGAAGATAATTTAACATAATTATCCTATAGTCACTAATTACGTTTAAACTAATTGTTTCTATTGAATAGATTAGAGTAAAACTGGTAGGTACATAAACGTTTTTAAAGTTTTCAGAGTTGCGTCTCTCTCCGCTCATGCGTTTATGGAATCCAGGGTCCGAACACAGGGTCCCGCGCACCAGACAGAGTGATAACACTCGGACCAGGGGAATGTCTGTTGACCACAGACCCATGACAGGAAGCACAATTAAACTTGGATGGATGAGTTCTTTAACAGCGTAAAAAGTTAGTTGGGTCGAGTTGCTTGGTATGCAAGCGTATGGTAACCATGTCTAGATTTTCAGTTGCAGTGAATAAGTCAAGATGCAAACATATTTATTATCTGAAAGATCATAATCAATCCTGGAATTCTGTTTGGATTCTACTTGAAAGCGTTTGTAGTGCTTATCATTTGTGTTGATTGATGCTGCTAGATTACAATACTAAAAAAGTAAATTAAACTGAAAATAGAGAAGGCCAAATTAAAAGAAATCTAAGCAACAAGAAGAGAAAGACTGCACAATTTCTATAGATCTATAGGCTTATACAGTAGCCTAATACAGTTGGCAAGTTTGTAGCCTAGGCCTGTACTTGCCATTGCCACAGAAATAGGCTATTCCATTTCCGGCGACATGACAAACAACAATGTAACTTTCCTGCTGGAGAAAGAAGTTACAGACCGCAGATGACTGCTTGATGCAGGCAAAACGTGAACGATGTCGCCCCCTAGCGACTTCAGTGCCTGAATTGAATTCCAGCTCCTCTAGGCAAAGAATTGACGTTGGCGCCACTATGCTGATTCAACCATGTCCAACGTTTTTATAAACGTCTTCTGAGACCAAACCAGTGCCATCACCACCCCTGCTCATCAAGATGACTCAATGTGCGCTTTACAAGACCTGGTGTGCCACAATAGGCTACAGTTGGAGACAGGAGAAAGCCAGTCAGTTTTACTGCTGTGCTGGAGCAGTAAAAGTCCCTCTATTGATTTTAATTGATTAAATTGTAATGTTTTCCAAAAGGCTTAGGTAGTGGAGACAGGGGTATCTTCCCCCATAAATCAACACATTTTCACTTAACCTAGACAGATACTGGTGTTGTTTTTGCAACATCTGGTGGAACCATGTCTGACGTGCAAGTATTTCAACTCTTCCAGCAGAATTAACCATCCGTGACCATGGATGAAATGAAGACATGTCTCATCATTGTGTTTGTCTTGTTTGGGTTGTTGTCAGGTAAGAAACTCATTTAAATAAGTAAAATCGTTTATTGGTTCTTATCACCTGATCATAATCTGCGTGCGCACATAACTTGCCTTTTCCTTCCGACATCACGGTTAAATAAACAAACCTGTCCAATGTTTTGTATTGATAACACTATGGACATTCAGTGAACTGTTGTTTTTTCTATTAGTTACCCGCGGGCTGGCCCCACCGACCATTGTATCAACTGAAGATGAGTTTGTTCTCGAGCCGCTCTCCGTGTTCAACATCAGCTGCACCGGTAAAAGGAACGTTGCTTGGGTCGAGCCCCTACCAGATGACACATTTGTTTTGCCTGGATATTACACGGCCACGCTCTTCATCTACAACGCTTCTGTGACACACACCGGAATTTACACCTGCAAATATCAAGACAAAGAGGGCGATGAATTGGAGGATGGCGTTGACAATGATGCTTTCATATACGTTTTCGTCCCAGGTAAATATGGTAAAATTGTTTGTCATATCCATACTCTGTTATTCTATTCTATTAATTCCCATATTCATAGCTTTTTGACCAAACAACCCTGTTCTTGCCATGTTGCTCAGATCCTGAGATTCCATTTGTGCCTGAGGAGCCAGATAGCTTGCTAGTTCCAGTCTATCCCAATGGAACCATCATCCCCTGCAGGGTGTCAGACCCTCACTCCCTGGTCGTCCTAAAGAGTGCTCCCAGTGGAGTAGAGGTGGACGCAGTTTATGAGAACAAGATCGGCTTCATTGGCAACCTGGATGCTGGATTGTACATCTGTGAGACCACCGTGAATGGCGTGACAATGACCAGTGACACCTACACTGTGGAGGCCAACAAACGTAAGGAGTCCAGATGTTCATGATTTGTTTGATGACAAATGGCTCTGCTGCTTAGTTTTAATATCACTTTGGTTAAAAAAGCTGTCATCGTTTTTTTCATGCCTTAGAGCAACAGATAAGTGATTGAATAAGCATTAGGCCCAGAAAGGGGATGATATTGAGGCCAGCTATTAACACCCTGGGCTTGTTTACTACTGAGAGTGTGTGTGTGTGTGTGTGTGTGTGTGTGTGTGTGTGTGTGTGTGTGTGTGTGTGTGTGTGTGTGAGAGAGAGAGATGAGGTGGTCTCACTGCATGAGAGAGATGACATCATGTCATTAGTACCGGGGGAGATGACTTCACAGGGTTGTAGTCAGACACTGAGGATGTGATGACATCAGCCTGCAGTGAAGTCAGAGAGGGGGATGACCATGCAGAGGCCTGTAGATTACCATATTGTCCCTGTTGACCGTATTGCTCCTCCCTACCCTGGTGGTCTGTACAGAGATGGAGAACGTCCATGTGGAGGTGAAGGCCAGCGAAGAGGCAGTGAGACTGGGGGAACCCTTCAACATCACCTGTGTTGCCCCTCCAGGACTGCCCTACCAGCAGCAGTGGCTCCACCCCAGGAAACAGGCAAGGCCTCACCCCCCATAGCCGCGCGAAGTAGGGGTGCTGCAGCACACCCTGTAAAATCAGAATAAAAAAAAGATTTAGTGCGGGCAAAAAGATTTGTCCAAATCCCCCCTTTTTCCCTCAGAACAGCCTCAGTTAGAGAAAATGCAATAACAGAAAAAAAGGGAAAGATTTTCTGTGTAAAATTTCCAAATCTGTTTGACTGGTTGTAAGGAAATAAAAGCTGTGAAAATGACCCAACACGTTTCTGATAAGATTTCAGTTTGGCTTGGATGCATATTTTATGTGGTTGAAATACTATCAGCTTTTGTGATGCTGATAAAGATAGCACCTCTACAGACGGTATCTAACTGCACATTCGTATTCTCTCAAGATGCTGAAATAAATCAAGAATATTTCTACACTCCTGTTCTAGAGTCACAATTTTGCCTACATTTGGTGTATCATTTTCCAGCAAGAAATGCTTAATTCTGCAGGAGTTAATATTTAGTCTATGTGAGAGGTTATAGACTTACAGTCAGAGAGGTTATAGACTTTCAGTTTTCATTTAACCCATCTGAACAGTAGGCTACAGTTCCCTTGACGTGCCATAGGCCTATTTGAAGTCCCCGTCTTGTGACTGTCGAATTTGTGTAGCACCTCACAATCATTACACATAACATTGCCAGCACTGCTATCATCCTCTTTTACCACTTCACCAAATCTTTCCCAAACTTTTCTGACACTCCCTTTTCTTTATTTTCAACTCTCCACTTCACAGCTTTTCGCTTCTTGAATAAATCTCAGACATGATCCTATTTGCCTGCTTAGATCGATGTTAACCTTTTCTGCCCGTTCCCAAAAGCATTTGGCGATTGGCATGTAGGCTACAGTGGCTTGCGAAAGTATTCACCCCCCTTGGCATTTTTCCTATTTTGTTACCTTACCTGGAATTAAAATGGATTTTTGGTGGGTTTGTATCATTTGATTTACACAACATGCCTACCATTTTGAAGATGCAAAATATTTTTTTGGGGTGAAACAAAAAAAAACAGAACACTTGAGCATGCATAACTATTCACCCCCCCAAAGTCAATACTTTGTAGAGCCACCTTTTGCAGCAATTACAGCTGCAAGTCTCTTGGGGTATGTCTCTATAAGCTTGGCACATCTAGCCACTAGGATTTTTGCCCATTCTTCAAGGCAAAATTGCTCCAGCTCCTACAAGTTGGATGGGTTCCGCTGGTGTACAGCAATCTTTAAATCATACCACAGATTCTCAATTGGATTGAGGTCTGGGCTTTGACTAGGTCATTCCAAGACATTTAAATGTTTCCCCTTAAACAACTCGTGTTACTTTAGCAGTATGCTTAGGGTCATTGTCCTGCTGGAAGGTGAACCTCCGTCCCAGTCTCAAATCTCTGGAAGACTGAAACAGGTTTCCCTTAAGAATTTCCCTGTATTTAGCGCCATCCATCATTCCTTCAATTCTGACCAGCTTCCCAGTCCCTGCCAATTAAAAACATCCCCACAGCATGTTCTCGGGGTGATGAGAGGTGTTGGGTTTGCGCCAGACATAGCTCAATTTTAGTCTCATCTGACCAGAGTACCTTCTTCCATATGTTTGGGGAGTCTCCCACATGCCTTTTGGCGAACACCAAACATGTTTGCTTATTTTTCTCTTCAAGCAATGGCTTTTTTCTGGCCACTCTTCCGTAAAGCCCAGCTCTGTCGATTGTACGGCTTAAAGTGGTCCTATGGACAGATACTCCAATCTCCGCTGTGGAGCTTTGCAGCTCCTTCAGGGTTATCTTTGGTCTCTTTGTTGCCTCTCTGATTAATGTCCTCCTTGCCTGGTCTGTGAGGTTTGGTGGGCGGCCCTCTCTTGGCAGGTTTGTTGTGGTGCCATATTCTTTCAATTTTTTAAACGTTTCTGATATTTGTTTATAACCCAACCCTGATCTGTACTTCTCCACAACTTTGTTCCTGACCTGTTTGGAGAGGTCCTTGGTCTTCATGGTGCCGGTTGCTTGGTGGTGCCCCTTGCTTAGTGGTGTTGCAGACTCTGGGGCCTTTCAGAAAAGGTGTATATATACTGAGATCATGTGACAGATCATGTGACACTTAGATTGCACACAGGTGGACTTTATTTAACTAATTATGTGACTTCTGAAGGTAATTGGTTGCACCAGATCTTATTTAGGGGCTTCATAGCAAAGGGGGTGAATACAAATGCACGCACCACTTTTCCGTTATTTATTTTTGAGATATTTTTGAAACAAGTTATTTTTTTCATTTCACTTCACCAATTTTGACTATTTTGTGTATGTCCATTACATGAAATCCAAATAAAAATCCATTTAAATTACAGGTTGTAATGCAGCAAAATAGGATAAACGCCAAGGGGGATGAAAACTTTTGCAAGGCACTGTATTTGGCACAAATACAGTCAGGCCCTAAAGTTTAGGCTTAGGCACTAATGCCAAATAGCCTAAAATAATGAAAGAAAAACCTGAATGTAGCCTATAGATATAAATTGCACAAGAATGATACATTTATGGATTTTTTAAAAGTATTGTTTTCTCTTTATTCAAACCCGCCCGCCTGCAACCCACCCACCCTTCATCCACACAATATTGAATTACCCTAAACCCGCCTGCCCTGCGGATATAACCATGGGGATTATGAGTCAACCAGCGCATCACTAATACGCACCACCTCCTCGTAACCCCAGTGAACTGTGTGGATGTGTTTGACCATTGAGTGTGTGTTAGGTTCATGTTATGTTTATGTGAGATAATGAGAGTGTGTCCATTCATGTGTATAGTCATGCATAATTTAGTTAATTTAAGTTTGTGTGCCAGTGTAAATGATAGTGTGGATAGTGGATATATATTTTGTCTGAAGTGATAGTCTGTGTGTGTGTGTGCACCTATGTCTTTGTGTGCACTGTTCAGTAATCCCCACAGCGCATTGTGACCGAGCGGCTGTTTTAGTGATGGGATTCCTAAGCCCTTTTCCAGAGACAGTTAGGGTAAGAAGAGCGCCGGACTCCTGACTCCTGGCTTTGGTCTCAGCTGCAATTACAGGCATTTAAAGGCCCTGGGGTCCTGATTTGTCTCCTGTGGACCAGCAAGTGTTTTCACCATCAGCTTACAGACCGATATAGAGGCATACTGCTCCGACATACAGAATTAAACACTAAACCTGTAAAAAGGTGGAGAAAAGCATAGAGACAAGATATATTATTTCCTAGAGATGGGTATAGACGGTGTGTATGTGTATGCATGTGTGTGTGTGTGTGTCTATGGTGTATTTCATCTCCCTTCATCTTTTTCCTCTATGTAGGCTGTGGATGCAGTCCAGATGAAGCAGACTCTGCCTGATAGAGTGGTATACACCCTCAGTATCCCAGCAGCCACCTCTCAGGATAGTGGGGTGTATGAGTGCTCCATCACCAACAACTTCAGTAGCGAGATCAGAGCCAACAGGGTGGCTGTCACTGTCTTCGGTACACTCTCACCTCCTTATGGCCAATCAAAAACTCATTTTGAGAACATACACTACCGGTTAAAAGTTTTAGAACACCAACTCATTCAAGAGTTTTTCTTTATTTTGACTATTTTCTACATTGTAGAATAATAGTGAAGACATGAAATAACACATATGGAATCATGTAGTAACCAAAAAAGTGTTAAACAAATCAAAAAATATTTTATATTTGAGATTCTTCAAATAGCCACCCTTTGCCTTGATGACAGCTTTGCACACTCTTGGCATTCTCTCAACCAGCTTCACCTGAAGGAGTTCCCACATATGCTGAGCACTTGTTGGCTGCTTTTCCTTCACTCTGCGGTTCGACTCATCCCAAACCATCTCAATTTGGTTGAGGTCGGGGGATTGTGGAGGCCAGGTCATCTGATGCAGCACTCCATCACTCTCCTTCTTGGTAAAATAGCGCTTACACAACCTGGAGGTGTGTTGGGTCATTGTCCTGTTGAAAAACAAATGATAGTCCCACTAAGCCCAAACCAGATGGGATGGCATATCGCTGCAGAATGCTGTGGTAGCCATGCTGGTTAAGTGTGCCTTGAATTCTAAATAAATCACAGACAGTGTCACCAGCAAAGCACCCGCACACCATAACACCTCCTCCTCCATGCTTTACTGTGGGAAATACACATGCAGAGATCATCCGTTCACCCACACTGCGTCTCACAAAGACACGGCGGTTGGAACCAAAAATCTCCAATTTGGACTCCAGACCAAAGGACACATTTCCACCAGCTTAATGTCCATTGCTCGTGTTTCTTGGCCCAAGCAGGACTCTTCTTATTATTGGTGTCCTTTAGTAGTGGTTTCTTTGCAGCAATTTGACCGTGAAGGCCTGATTCACGCAGTCTCCTCTGAACAGTTGATGGTAACTCTAATGAACTTATCCTCTGCAGCAGAGGTAACGCTGGGTCTTCCTTTCCTGTGGCGGTCCTCATGAGAGCCAGTTTCATCACAGCGCTTGATGGTTTTTGCAACTGTACTTGAAGAAACTTTCAAAGTTCTTGAAATGTTCCATATTGACTGACCTTCATGTCTTAAAGTAATGATGGACTGTCTTTCCTCTATGCTTATGTGAGCTGTTCTTGACATAATATGGACTTGGTCTTTTACCAAAAAGGGCTATCTTCTGTATACCCCCCTACCTTGTCACAACACAACTGATTGGCTCAAACACATTAAGAAAGAAAGAAATTCCACAAATTAACTTTTAACAAGGCACACCTGTTAATTGAAATGCATTCCAGGTGACTACCTCATGATGCTTGTTGAGAGAATGCCAAGAGTGTGCAAAGCTGTCAAGGCAAAGGGTGGCTATTTGAAGAATCTCAAATATAAAATATATTTTGATTTGTTTAACACTTTTCTGGTTACTACATGATTCCAAATGTGTTATTTCATAGTTTTGATGTCTTCACTATTATTCTACAATGTAGAAAATAGTAAAAATAAAGAAAAACCCTTGAATGAGTAGGTGTTCTAAGACTTCTGACCGGTAGTGTATGTGCAATATCTATTACCAGTCAAACCATGCATTGTAGACATTTTCTCTCAAGACATTGCCTATCCTTCAACAGCATTAATATTTACTACCAATACCACTTAGTTGTAGATGTATTAAACAGAAATGACTTGGGATCCATTTGATACTTCTTGGATTAAGTATTTAAAAGTAGTCTCCTTGAATTCACATAAAGGCGTAGAGTTAATTCATCCTGCCTGTCAGTGTCAGTATGACGTGCTAGAGGGAACGGCTGCTTTATGGGAGGGCTTCAACAGCCCCAATGCTTTATGGGTTTGCTTCAACAGATGTGTGCCAGAATTACATTGATCTTTTTCTGTTTCTCATCCTTCCTTCTGTGTCCCAACTCTATCACTCTCTCTTTCTTCTTTCTCTTTCTCTTCATCACTATACCTCTCCCTCTGCTCCCCTCTCTTTTCCACCCTTCTCTTTGTAGAGGAGAACTCCTTTGTGACGTTGGACCACAGTGGGATTGGAGTGGTGGAGTTTGTCAGTATGATGGAGGAGACAGAGTTCACCATCAATATTGCAGCCTTCCCTGCCCCTAAAGTCACCTGGATGAAAGACGGTATCGCCATCACTGAGAACAGCTACTTCCTCACCAAGACCAGCCATCTGGAGGGCAACCAGTAAGATCATAACATCTGTTTATAGCAAAGCTGTTTTTTGCGTGGCTTTGGCTCTGTATGGTGTGTGCTGAACTGAGCTAAGTGGTTCTCTGCCCATCTTTCAGGTATCAGAGCACTCTGACTCTTCGGCAGCCACTAGAGGAGGACAGTGGTAACTACACCATTATGGTCCTCAGCAGCCCTCACACTGCCCAGTTCTCTTTCACCCTCAAAGTGAAAGGTGAGTAAAACCTCAAACCAAGTGAAAATGCGTGTGAACATGCATTTATGTTTCTATGTGTTCAAATGTGTTAGGAATTGTGAATGTGTCAGTGTGCGTGTTTTATCTCAGGATCATCCTAAATTTGACCATATGTCTGCCTGTGTGTGCCTTCCAGCCTCAGGCCCAGTACTGTTCCAGCCAGCCTCAGCCCCGGTGCTGTTCCCCCAGAGAGAGGAGATGGTTGTTCCCCTCCACACCCCCTTCACGCTGACATGCAGGGGCGAGGCCGAGCTGGCCTGGGACATGCCCGTCTACCAATCAGAGCAGACCGATGAGGACAACAGCGGCCTGTTCGTCACGACAGTTACCGTAGAGAATGCCACTGCAGCCCACACTGGCTTCTACACCTGCTTCTACAACGGAGGGAACTCCACTGAGGAGGGAGAGGACAGCAGCATCTACATATATGTGCCAGGTATAGGGAAGACAGCACTGTGGTGTTGGAGTTAAATCTATGGAAGAAGTTTGAATAATTAGAAACTTACTATGCCCTCTTCTCACCCCCTCAGATCCAGAGGTGCCCTTCGTCCCCTCTCTGGTGCCCTTTGGCAACCACGTCCTGAATGGTCACGATGAGATGGAGATCCAGTGTCGCGTGTCGGACCCCAGTGCCAATGTGACCCTGGTCAACACTGATACCCAGCAGGCCGTGCCCATGATGGTCTACGACAGCAAGAGGGGAGCCGTGGGCTTCTTCAGCGCAGGAACCTACGTCTGCAAGGCCCTCATCAATGGAGAGGAGCATCTCAGTGAGGAGTACATCGTCCATGGCTGGGCAGGGGGGTTAGAGCTGCATGTGGAGCTGAAGGCTCAGAAGACTGCCCTCTTGGTGGGAGACACCATCACTGTCTCCTGTGTGGCCCGGGGGTCTGAGATACTGGAAGACCACTGGAAGTACCCTGGAAAACTGGTAAACAACAGCACATACTGTATATACTGTAGTTATTACTCTCTTCTTGGAGAGCACATTAATTGATTCATTTAAAAATGCATTTGTTTGTTTGATTAAAATGGGTCTAACTTGTGTGTGTGTCCTGTGTGTGTGTCAGGCGAACCGTGGCTTGAAGTCGGTGCGTGAGAATAAGAGGGACCAGGAGATCCAGTACATCATGACTGTCCCCCAGGCCTCAGCCAAAGACAGCGGCATCTACGCCTGCTCCATCACTGACATCATCAGCAATGAGAGCCAGACCAAGGAGCTGGCCATCACTGTCTATGGTACGTTTGTGTCACTGTTTATTAACTTAGTAACAAGGCAATAATCTTGGTTTATCATCTTGCTTGAACTGGTAGATTGTTCTAACTAGCTGTGACCTGTACATATTTTATTAATGGTTCTCTCTCCATTTTCTGTCCTGACAGAGAGCCCATTTGTGTCGCTGCACCCTGCATTTAGTTCTCAGGAGTCAGCAGAGCTGGATGAGAGCAGAGAGTTCCGGGCCGACATTGACTCCTTCCCCAGCGCCCAGCTCACATGGCTCAAAGATGGCCTCCCCCTCAACTACGTGGCGGCTGAGATAACCACCAGCCTCCAGCAGCTCAACGAGACCAGGTGAGACTTCCTCTGACATGACTCAACACTGACTGAAGAGATAGGATATACCACTGTCCTGCACACTAAACTCTGTGGCTTATAACAGGTTCCCAGTTCACCTAGGATGTTCAGATGTCTATTATTAAGGTCTGGTGTTGTGAGATGTTAGAGTGGAACTAGTCTCTCGTGACAGACTTAACAGCGAGCACATGAGATTAGAGTGTAACCATACATGGTGTTTTGTCTCTGTAGGTACCAGAGTGTTCTGACCCTGATCCGGGCCAAGGAGGAGGACAGTGGGAACTACACCATCAGAGTGCAGAACGGGAACCACACCCACAGCCACAGCTTCAGCCTGCAGGTCAAAGGTGAGGCAGAGGAATGCTCCAACCCCTCAATTTGCATTTACCTTTATCTCACTGACACCAGTGGTCCCATACTCCCATAACTTTCGGACCCTCTCTCTTTGACCCCTTTTCTCTGTTTCTCTTTTTTCTCTCTCTCTTCCTCTCTTCCTCTCTCTGTATTGTGGTCTGAGCCCCTGTTCTCTCTCTGTCTGTGTCCAGTACCCGCAGTCATCGTGGACCTGATGGACGTCCACCATGGCTCAGACTCAGGCCAGTCTGTAGTGTGTATCGCTGGAGGCATGCCCACTCCTGAGGTGGAGTGGTTCATCTGCAAGAACATAAAACAGTAAGGATACCCTCTCACAACCCCACCTTCTTCCTTTTCATCTCTCCATTCTCTCTCTTTCACTCCGACAATAGCCAGTTTTCTTCCTTAAAATTCACATACACCTACTACTGTACATTGTTCACCTCTACCTGGCCACTTCATATGCTGCTATGCCCAATGTGACAATGTAATGGTAAAAGGTCTTTACACTTTCTTCCTACCCTGTCCAGCTGTGCCAACGACTCGTCTCAGTGGGTGCCCCTGCCTACCAACGACACAGATGTCACTGTGGAAGCACATTTTGATCAGGACAACCAGCTGAAGAGCCAGCTGATCTTCGTGCATCTTGAGAACACTCTGGCCGTCCGCTGCCTGGCCAGGAACGAGATGGCCGTCGTCAGCAGGGAGGTCAAGCTGGTGTCACAAGGTGAGACATACACTCACAAAGTCACACTTACACACCTCCTCTCTCAGTTACAGTGCCTATAGAAAGTCTACACCCGATTAACTTTTTTTCACATTCTTCTGCGTTACAATGTAGGATTGAAATGGATTTAATTGTAAAAAAAATGACATGTATCTACACAGAATACTCCATGTCAAAGTGAAAAGAAAATACTACACATTTTTACACATTAATACAAATTAAATAACTAAAATAGTTGTTGCATAAGTAGTCACCCCCTTTGTTTAGGCAAGCCTAAATTAGTTCAGAGGTAAAACTTGGCTTAACAAATCACATAAGTTATATGGACTCACTGTGTGAAATAATAAAGGTTGACATGTTTTTGTAATGACTACACCTTCCTCTGTCTCCCATACATATAACATCTGTAAGGTCCCTCAGTCAAGTATTGAATTTCAAGCAGAGATTCAACTATAAATACCAGGGAGCTTTTCGAAAGCCTCATAAAGAAGGGCAGTGATCGTTAGATGGGTAAAAATAACAAATCAGACTTTGAATATCTCTTTAAGCATGGTCAAGTTAATAATAATTCTGTGGATGATGTATTAAACCACCCAGATACATCAAAGATGCAGTCGTCCTTCTGAACTGAGCTGGAGGACAGGAAGGAAACTGCTTAGGGATGTCACCATGAGGCCATTGGTGATTTTAAATTAGCTACAGAATTCAATGGCTGTAATGGATGAAGGATGGATCAAGAACATTGTAGTGACTCCACAATAATGACCTAAATGACAGAGTGAAAAGAAGAATACAAATATACAGAATACAAATATTCCAAAACGTGCATATGTATGCAACAGGGCACTGAAGTAATACTGCAAAAAAACACTGAAAGGAATAAACTTTTTGGCCTAAATGCAAAGCCTTATGTTTGGGGCAAATCCAACACAACACATCACTGAGTAACTGCCTCCTTGTTTTCAAGCATGGTGGTGGCTGCATCATGGTATGGATATGCTTGACATCGGCAAAGACTGGGAAGTTTTTCAGGATGAAAAGAGACGGGATGGAGCTAAGCACAGGCAAAATCCTAGAGGAAACCTGGTTCAGTCTGCTTTCCACGAGACACTGAGAGAGGAATTCACCTTTCAGTAGGACAATAACCTACAACACAAAGCAAAATCTACACTTGAGTTGCTTACCAAGAAGACAGTGAAGTGGCCAAGTTACCGTTTTGACTTAAATCTGCTTGAAAATCTATGGCAAGACTTGAAAATTGCTGTCTAGCCATGATCCCCAACACCTTGACAGAGCTTGAAGAATTTTGAAAATAATAATGGACAATACAGGTGTGCAAAGCACTCATGAGACTTACCCAAGGAGACTCGCAGATGTAATCGCTGCCAACAGTGTTTCTAACATGTATTAACTCAGGGGAGTGAATACTTATCTAATCAAGGTATATTAGTGTTTTATTTTTCATTAATCTTAAAAAAATGTTAGAATTTTTCTTCCACTTTGACATTAGAGTATTTTCTGTAGATCGTTGACAAAAAAATGACAATTAAATCCATTTTAATCCCACTTTTTAACATAATAAAAAAGAAATCCAAGGGGGGTGTAGACTTTCTATAGGCACTGTCCAACAGACATGGTTGGCATAGTGTGGTGACTAGATGTACAGTATCTTAGTTTGCCTGCTACAGTATATTTTCTTCCTGCTATAGTCTCCTCTTTTAATAGCTAGTATCTTCCTGTAGTTGCGTCCCTTTGTGACACTTTAAGTGTGATAGGCATTGAAGAGACTGTGCTGGGCTGTCAGTGTTGAGGCAGCTGTCTGGTAAATTGTGTGTGGTGGGGCAAATTGTGTGTGGTGGGGCAGCTGATCACAGACTTTCATTGTGCAGCTGTGTGTTAGCCTGGGATACTTATACTGTGAAAAGTAAAGCCCAGGTAGCTTTGGTCATTTGGCCGCTCCAGCTGTGCCCCAAACCCAACCCCGCCCCACTCCCTAAACCCTTCAGCAGACCTTTTGGTCCTGATAATCCTGAGACCCCACTGGCTTGGTTTATTGGGTGTGAGGCACGATGCTGAACTAAACCATTTAAATAGAGTATTTGGATTGCCATGATGAAGTTCTTTATATTTTACCTCATGTTTTTTTGTTGTTGATAATTCATCAAACTAACATTCCCATATTGACTTACATTGACTTCTCCATGTTGTTTTCTCTCTGTGGCATTCTCCATGTTGTGCTCTCCATATCATGTATGTGTGGTGGTTCTCCTCCTGAACAGGCCCCCACTCTGAGCTGCCTGTAACTGCTGCTGTCTTGGTGCTGCTGGTCATTGTCATCATCTCACTCATTGTCCTGGTCATTATCTGGAAACAGGTACAGCAGATCACCACTTCCCCTCACACACGCACAAACTCGCTCACTCACTCGCCGACTCATTCTCTCATTGACTCATTAAATCACCCACCTACACTTTAACAAGTGTCTTAGAGCAGTGTTTCCCAACTCCGGTCCTCCAGTATCCCCCAACAGTACACCTTTTTATTGTAGCCCCGGACAAGCACACCTGATTCAACTTGTCAACTAATTATCAAGCCCTCGATGAGTTCAATCAGGTATGTTTGCCCGGGGATACAACCAAAATGTGTACTGTTGGGGGGACTGGAGGACCAGAGTTGGGAAACACTGCTCTAAAGCCTATGTATGGATCTGTTTATCTATGTCCTCTGTCCTACAGAAGCCTCGCTATGAGATCCGCTGGAGGGTGATAGAGTCAGTGAGCCCTGATGGTCATGAGTACATCTACGTTGACCCCATGCAGCTGCCATATGACTCCAGATGGGAGTTCTCTCGCGATGGGCTCGTACTGGGTGAGAGCCGACTGCACTGCTTCCTCTCTCTGTGGTCTTACTGTGGTCATGTTCTGGTCAGAGTGTCACATCACCGTGGTCGTGTTCTGGTCAGGCTGTGGTCTGGATGTCTCCCTCTGGTCTTTGAAGTGAAGATGTGATAAGGCTATCTGGCCTGGCAGACAGGGGAGGCTGGGACATGGTGCCTGGATTTGGGTTGTGACTCACTGACCAAAGGGAATCTCACTCACTGGGGAACTGGGGAAGTCACAGATGAGAGGGAAGAGGCAGACGTGTGTGTCAAATAAAATCGTATTTTATTTGTCACATGCTTCGTAAACAACAGGTGTAGACTAACAGTGAAATGCTTACTTACGGGTCCTTTTCAAACAATGCAGAGTTAAAGATAAACATAAAATATATAAAATATAAATAGTGACACAAGGAATAAATACAGAGTGAATAACAATAACGAGTGAACATAACATGGCTGTATACAGGGAGTAGTAACGAGTCGATGTGCAGGGTACGAGGTAATTGAGGTAGCTATGTACTGTACATATAGGTAGGGGTCAAGTGACTAGGTAACAGCGTATGTGATGAGTGTGAAAGTGTGTGTGTGTGTGGCGTCAGTATGCATGTGTGTGCATGTTATGTGTGTGTGTGGGCATATGTACTGTGTGTAGGTATGTGTGTGTTGGAGTGTCAGTGTGAGTATGTGTGAGTTTGTGGGTAGAGTCCAGTGTGTGTGCATAGAGTCAGTGCTTGAGAGTGTGTGTGTGTGTGTGTTTGCCTGTCTGTCTATGTTTGTGTATTTGTTTACCCTCCATGTTAACTGATCATGTGCCATGTCTGCTGTGTCTGCAGGTCGTGTCCTGGGCTCTGGGGCGTTTGGGAAGGTGGTGGAGGGAACTGCATACGGACTCAGCCGCTCCCAGCCCGTCATGAAGGTGGCTGTGAAGATGCTGAAACGTGAGTTGACCACAGACAGCTGTAGAGTTGACCACAGACAGCTATAGAGTTGACCACAGACAGCTATAGAGTTGACCACAGACATCTATAGAGTTGACCACAGACAGCTATAGAGTTGACCACAGACAGCTATAGAGTTGACCACAGACAGCTATAGAGTTGACCACAGACAGCTATAGAGTTGACCACAGACAGCTAGAGTTGACCACAGACAGCTATATAGTTGACCACAGACAGCTATAGTTGACCACAGACAGCTATAGAGTTGACCACAGACAGCTATAGAGTTGACTATAGACAGCTATACAGACAGCTATAGAGTTGACCACAGACAGCTTACGTTGTGATTGATGAAACAATGGCAGTCATTGATGGATCTTGTTAATGATTAATTGATTGTGTGTGATGGACCGATAGATGCGGTGTGATTGATTGAAGGTTGATTTATTGTTTTTCTGTTTCGCGTTGTAGCCACGGCCCGCTCCAGTGAGAAACAGGCCCTGATGTCAGAGCTGAAGATCATGACTCACCTGGGCCCTCACCTCAACATCGTCAACCTGCTGGGGGCCTGCACCAAGTCAGGTGACTGCACACAAACACACACACACACTTACAGAAATACAGTGGTGTAAAGTACTTAAGTAAAACTACTTTAAAGTACTACTTAAGTCGTTTTTTGGGGTATCTGTACTTTACTTTACAATTTATATTTTTGACTACTTTTACTTCACTACATTCCTAAAGACAATAATGTACTTTTTCCTCCATACATTTTCCCTGACACCCAAAAATACTCGTTACAATTTGAATGCTTAGCAGGACTGGAAAATGGTCCAATGCACGCATTTATCAAGAGAACCTCCCATGTCATCCCTACTGCCTCTGATCTGGCAGACTCACTAAGCACAAATGCTTTGTTTGTAAATGATGAGTGTTGGAGTGTGCCCTTGGCTATCTGTAAATTTCAAAAACAAGAAAATGGTGCCGTCTGGTTTGCTTAATATAAGGGATTTTAAATTATTTATACTTTGACATTTACTTTTGATACTTAAGTATATTTAAAACCAAAAACTTTTAGACTTTTACTCAAGTAGTATTTTATTGGGTGACTTTCACTTTTACTTGAGTCATGTTATATTAAGGTATCTTTTCTTTTACTCAAGGATGACAATTGGGTACTTTTTCCACCACTGCAGATATGCACACACTCACACACACACATATGGTTTTGACAGCCAAGACAGGCAGTTGCCATTCCTCTGGGCCGATGGTGGGTGTGGTATTTTAATAGTGTTTTTATGAGTATAAAGGCTTGCCCTCTTGGCGTAGCTTTTAGCCTTTATGAGCCTCTGATAAGTTTAGCCAGCAGACTGACGCTTGTGTCTCTATCCCTCTGCTCTGTTCCCATGCAGGCCCCACCTACATCATCACTGAGTACTGCTTCTATGGAGACCTGGTCAATTACCTGCACAAGAACAGAGAGAACTTCCTCAGCCTGCACCCAGAGAAGACCAAGAAAGACCTGGACATCTTTGGCATCAACCCTGCAGATGAGAGCAGCAGGAGGTAAAGAGACATAGGATCAGCTGCAGAAACACACACACACATGGGCGCACACACACACGGACACACACAGGCACGGACACGCACAGGCACGGGCGCGCACACACACATGCACTAGCACGCACGCTTGCACACACACCCCCTATGTCGTGTGTCCCCCTCCTCAGTCCCTGCTCCCCTCTCCCCCACTCAGTCATTCTGTCTCATTGACGCAGCATTCTACTGCAGGCTCTCAGTAACATAACGTAACCCTACCCCAGTCTTCCTCATGGCTGAGGAGGTCGTCTGTCGTCTTCCACTAATCAAATCTGTGTCTGAAGTGGTGCTCGGCTTTCAGCCTAATCACATGACTGTTGTTTGGGTACCTGTTAATGGTCTCTGTCCAGACGAGCATGGGGGAAACACTAGGAGAGGCCTGCCTGCTCCTCTCTACTCTGCTGATCTGTGTTGACGGATGACTCACAATGACCACATCTCAGAGTGACCACACCATGATTTAATCTCTACCACCCTGACCATCAACCGCACCCTCTGTAGGGGGAACCTCAGGACATACATTGGGTGTCCTTTGAGAATGGTGATTCTAACATGGTTGTTGTTGTCTTTCTACCAACCTCCTCCCTCCCTCCTTCCCTGCAGCTATGTGATCCTGTCCTTTGAGAGTGGTAAAGGGGACTACATGGAGATGAAGCAGGCAGACACCACGCAGTACGTGCCCATGCTGGAGATGAGTGATGCCTCCAAGTATTCCGACATCCAGAGGTCTGAATATGACCACCCACCATCACAGAAGGGTGGTGAGTACACAGTCGGACAGTCTCTCTCTCTCTCTCTCTCTCTCTCTCTCTCTCTCTCTCTCTCTCTCTCTCAGCTTGCGTTGGCTGAAGTGCAGGGTTTTAGTCAGCGCTGGTTGGGTTGGTTGAGGGGTCCAGCCTGTAATTATATAGCAAGGGTAATTGTAGCAGACACATAATAATGCGTATTTCTCCCTTCCATTAGGAAAAGCCAGGTTACAGCGGCCAGTTCTATATTTACATGCACATAAACATACAAACACACACTTTATTCACTCACTCATAGACAGACTGAAGCTTAATGTCTGTATATGTTTGTTTTTCTGATCCAGATAATGAGATGGACAGCCTGCTGTCAGAGGACGGCAACGAGGGCCTCAGCACCACAGACCTGCTCAGCTTTACCTACCAGGTGGCCAGAGGCATGGAGTTCCTGTCCTCTAAGAACGTGAGTGGGACCAAGGGCTGGGAATGAATGGAGATCAGTGGGACATGATATTAGGTCAGTGCAGTGGCTGGGGATAACAGGCCAATGTCATACAATACAATAGCTATTCTGAGACCAAGGTCTCTTTTACAGATGAGCCCTGAATTACATAAATTACATAAAATATAAAATATAAATACAAAATGCAAGCAGAAAGAAAGAAAAACACAGTCATAAAAAAACAAATGCATTCATCAGTAATACGGTCCTCAATCAGCTTTCTGAATTGCCCTAGAGGCACCAAAACATCAGGCTGTACATTTCATCTTGATGTTCTGGTGTTGTTCGGGCAATTTAAAGTATTGATTGGGGACTTATTTGTGGAGGAATGTAACAGTTTTTCTGCATGATTTGTGATGTTTTATTTGTGCTTCCCATGACTGTGTTTTTGTATTTAGGTTGGGTATAATGTGTATATTTATGATTTATGTAGTATATACAGGGCAGATTTGTAAAAGAGACCTAGGTCTCAATATGTCTTCCCTGTTAAAATAAAGGTAAAAATAAACAAAAAACATATAAACTTTAACAACATTTTGAAGATTTCTCCACAAATAAGGTGCAAGAAAACTTAAAGCTGATTTACCTAACTCAGTAGAGACCAAGGGGATGTACAGATGATATCAACTAGAGGTACAGAAATGAGCCTAGGATACCATAGCCATCTTTTAATGGCCTGACTTTGCAACGAAGGAAGGACGTGATGGTCACATGATTCCATTGGCTTAGCAGAAGCTTGTGCCACTGGCAAGCTTGTTCTGACCTCTATTGGTACACAGCAGGGAGTGGGTCGGTTGCCACGTCAACCCTGCCGTCTGCATGTTCCAGTGGTAACCACGGTAATGATGGCAGGCAGGTTGTGGGCTGCTGTTGTGCTTGATGACAGCTGTGAAAGCCAAGAGGTTGGCTAAATCAGGGGTTCTGTGATAAGCGGCCCTGTGAAGGCTGAGCTCACTGCTCAGGAGACAGGCCAGGTCTTTATATAGAACACCCAGTAGGCTGGAATTACACTGGGTACAAAGAAGCTATAAGCTCCTCATACAGCCTCCTAGTTATTATCCCTGAATATCCCCTGGTCAGGAGTGGTCAGTCAAGGCCGTCTCTTAGGCTGGCCTGTTGATATAAAGCCACCCTGTAAAACATGAGGAGGAAAGAAAGAATTTTAAAAAAGGGAGAACATACAAATGGTTTCTTTGAATTGAGATTCATTAAATGCTGAATGAGTGATTGAATTCATTCTCTGTGTGTCTGTTTTGCGGTGCAGTGTGTGCATCGAGACCTAGCTGCCAGGAATGTCCTGCTCTCTCAGGGGAAGATAGTGAAGATCTGTGACTTTGGCCTGGCCAGAGACATCATGCATGACAACAACTATGTCTCCAAAGGCAGTGTGAGTATTTCTCTAGGACCATACTGGCTGTTTGTGTGCCCTAAGCATAGACATGTATCCTGCTTGTTCATGTTAGCACTCCATTATATTCCACTATTGTAGTGTCCGTTATGTGAGTGCAGTGTATTTGATCCATCTGCTGTGTGTGTTGACCATAGACCTTCCTGCCAGTGAAGTGGATGGCTCCTGAGAGTATCTTTGACAATATGTACACCACTCTCAGTGATGTCTGGTCCTACGGCATCCTCCTCTGGGAGATCTTCTCTCTAGGTGAGGCTCAGCTGACCTCAAATCTGTGACAGAGACACATCTTCAGAAGCATGTTAAGGAGACATCTGACTCCAGATCAGTGTGTTGACAGTGATACTGGTGTTTGCTGGTGTACTGATTGCAGTGTGTTTGTGTTAAAGGTGGCACCCCATACCCAGGGATGGTAGTGGACTCCAGCTTCTACAACAAGATCAAGAGTGGCTACAGGATGGCCAAACCTGAGCACGCCCCCGCTGATGTGTATGTACATATTTTTTATATAATTATACATTTTGTTGTGTGCATTTTGTTGAAACACTTTTTATGCCAAAACACTTTCTAAAACACTAGATCAGATAACATTTTCCCATACGTCATGCAAATACTATGGAATGCTACTACTGCTGTAAATGTCTAACGCACAGTACTAAACTGTGATATACAATGCCATGACATGACTGTTATACCATGGCGTTTCACTCCCTGTACTGTTTGTCCTGTTCTCTCTGTTTAAATAGCGTGTTTTCCCTCCTCCAGGTATGAGATGATGATAAAGTGTTGGAACAGTGAGCCTGAGAAGAGGCCTTCCTTCCTCAGCCTGAGTGAGAGTGTGGCTTCACTGCTGCCCTCCGGCTACAAGAGGGTGGGTGTCTCTACAGTATGACCTCTGACCTAACAGCCTCTATCAGGGTTCCTCACACCTGCTTTCTAATGTCCCTCTGTCTTTCATTCCTGACCCTGACCTCCAACGTTTGGACCTACTCCTCCCTCTTATCGTTTCTTGTCCTTTCTAATCAATCTCATCCCCCTTTTACCTTACCTGACCTATCCTATTTTTACCCAGGAGGGGAGTAAGTGCTTCAACCATCCTCTTTCTCCATCCCTTTCTCACACTTTTCCTAGCCAGTGCGTTCCCCCTAGCCTTGGGGCCTGTTATAGTCCTACAGTACTAACAAAGTGAAGTTAATCTAAAACCAGGCTCACAAACTCCAACCACTTCCCCCAATGCTGCCAGTTGAGTGTGTTTCTGTGGGCTCTGCCAGTTGAGTGTGTTTCTGTGGGCGCTGAGTGCTGTGCATTTCCGTTGTATTAAAGCCCAGCTCTGGCGATGATTAGAGTGCTAATGCTCCAGCTGGTGGTCAGTGGCCAGCCCCAACCACAATAATGACACAGTCAGCAGCAGCAGCAGCCCCAGGTCTCTCCTCCACCTCCCCTCCACCAGCTAGGCTAACCATAATGAGCCTATTAAACAGCACACCACACATGACACCTCAAACCTCCTCCTCCCCCACTACTCTGCTTTACTGGTCCAGGAGAGTGGAGGAGTTAGCTCCCATTTTAGCACCTCAGGCTGGGGTTGGCTGGGCTAGGGTGGGGTGGGATGGGAGATCACCACCAGGCTGACTGAGTGAGAACACACACCGCTGACAGCTGGTTCAACTGGTTCAACGGGTTCAACTGATAAATCTGTTTTAGGATTGATTTGTGAGTTGAAGTGATTTATGTTTTGTGATTATGAAGGGGATGCTACTATTTTGGAGGTACTGTATGTGAGGTACCAGAGCAGTAAATAACTCTTGAGTAGTCCAGGCCAAAAGTATTTTCTTTACATGCACAGCACTCTTTTTTTATTTTTACGGTTAGACATATAGCAAAGTTTTCTGCATGGTACTGTAGACATTATGATCCAATGCTCCTATATAGGTTGATGTTCAATGGGCTCTCGCTCTGTTGTGCAGTGCTTCGAGAGGGTAAGCCATGAGTTCCTGAAGAGTGACCATCCAGCAGTGACCAGGGTCCAGGTGGAGGGTGATGATGCCTACATTGGGATCACCTATAAGAATCAGGACAAGTCAAAAGACAGGGAGAGTGGCTTCGACGAGCAGCGCCTCAGCTCTGACAGTGGTTACATTATCCCCCTCCCTGACCTGGACCCTCTGTCTGATGACGAGTACGGCAAGAGGAACCGCCACAGGTAGGCTACCACCTCAATCTCAGACATGTCTATCTTAATTCTCAGATTCTAATATGTGGTATAGGTTGACAACACTGTTTTATACCATAACATGTGGTAGTAACTATCACTATTGGCAGACTAAATAGCCTTGGTTTCTCAAATGACTGCCTCGCCTGGTTCACCAACTACTTCTCAGATAGAGTTAAATGTGTCAAATCGGAGGGCCTGTTGTCTGGACCTATGGCAGTCTCTATGGGGGTGCCACAGGGTTCAATTCTTGGGCCAACTCTTTTCTCTGTGTATATCAATGACGTCGCTCTTGCTGCTGGTGACTCTCAGATCCACCTCTACGCAGACGACACCATTTTGTATACATCTGGCCCTTCATTGGACACTGTGTTAACAAACCTCCAAACGAGCTTCAATTCCATACAACACTCCTTCAGTAGCCTCCAACTGCTCTTAAACACTAGTAAAACTAAATGCATGCTCTTCAACCGAACGCTGCTTGCACCCGCCCACCCGACTAGAATCACTACTCTAGACGGGTCTGACCTAGAGTATGTGGACAACTACAAATATCTAGGTGTCTGGTTAGACTGTAAACTCTCCTTCTAGACTCACATTAAGAATCTCCAATCCAAAGTTAAATCTAGAATCGGTTTCCTATTTCGCAACAAAGCCTCCTTCACTCATGCTGCCAAACATGCCCTCGTAAAACTGACTATCCTACCGATCCTTGACTTCGGCGATGTCATTTACAAAATAGCCTCCAACACTCTACTCAGCAAATTGGATGTTGTCTATCACAGTGCCATCCGTTTTGTCTCCAAAGCCCCATATAATACCCACCACTGTGACCTGTACGCTCTTGTTGGCTGGTCCTCACTACATATTCGTCGCCAAACCCACTGGCTCCAGGCCATCTATAAATCACTGCTAGGCAAATCCCCGCCTTATCTTAGCTCATTGGTCACCATAGCAACACCCACCCGTAGTCTGCGCTCCAGCGGGTATATCTCACTGGTCATCCCCAAAGCCAACACCTCCTTTGGCCGCAATTCCTTCCAGTTCTCTGCTGCCAATGACTGGAACAAATTGCAAAAATCTCTGAAGCTGGAGACACTTATCTCCCTCACTAACTTTAAGCATCAGTTGTCAGAGCACCTTACCGATCACTGCACCTGTACACAGCCCATCTGAAATTAGCCCGCCCAACTACCTCATCCCTATATTGTTATTTATTTTGCTCATTTGTACCCCAGTATCTCTATTTGCACATCATCTATTGCACATCATTCCAGTGTTAATACTAAATTGTAATTATTTTGCACTATAGCCTATTTTATTGCCTTACCTCCATAACTTGCTAAATTTGCACACTGTATATTAATTGTATTTCTGTTGTATTTTTGACTTTGTTTTGTTTTACCCCATATGTAACTCTGTGTTGTTGTTTTTATCGCACTGCTTTGCTTTATCTTGGCCAGGTCGCAGTTGTAAATGAGAACTTGTTCTCAACTGGTTTACCTGGTTAAATAAAGGTGAAATAAAATAAATAAAAATAAAAGTTCTGTTCACCAAATGCAAACATCCAGCAAACGAGATAGATAACCCTTATATTTAATTAATGGTCTCCTCCTGTATACTATACCCCATCACGCCCATTAACTGTTTAGTAACAATGACCTGTGCCTCTCTGTCCTGTGTAGCTCTCAAACATCTGAGGAGAGTGCCATAGAGACAGGCTCTAGCTTCACGCTGGCCAAGAGAGAAGGAGAGACCCTGGAGGACATCAGCCTGTTGGATGAGATGTTTCTGGGCTCAGAGCTGGTGGAAGACAGCTTCCTGTGAAAGGCCTGGAGAAGCCAAAAGCCTGCTAAAGAGAGGGAGAGAGTGAGGGGGAAAACACACCTGAACACAGACTCTCAGACCACCCAAAGACCCCTCCTCGCCACCCCCTATCTCGACCCCTCCTCATCCTCCGCCCATACACCTCCATTCCTCTCAGGAGGACAGAGCAAAACCACTTCACTGCTTGGACGAGTCTGTGGCCAGATCATGGTACGCCTGCCGTGGGGCTAGAGGGACGAGCAGCATGGATGGATGGATGCTACACTAAAGACTCACCACGACCATGTGGTTACAGAGTCTCTATGGAACATTACAGTGATGGATGGGACTAAGAGCACATGAGGAGAACATGGAGGAAGATTTTTATAGAAATGTATAAAACCTTATTGTAATGGGCATTCCGAACAGCATCATAAGCAAGGATGGATGGAGGGATCAGAATGCATCAGGCGTGAAAATCAAAGACCCAGAATGACGGGCAGTTTATATCAGCCATGCAGAACCACTACAGACAGACCCACATCACACCAGTGCCTACACAACAGACGGCTTTACTTCACAACTCACCTACCTGCAGGATATGCACTACAGTATATCTGATGCTGGCACAATCAGTAGCAATACATTGATTTAAAAAAAGCACAATACATGTATATGTTTTTGTATGTGACCATATGGCATTTGTTGTCAACAGCTAAATAAGTGCAGCAGTACAAGTATTTTCTTTCAACATTTTATCACGTGTGTGTGTATATATATATATATACTACCGTTCAAATGTTTGGGGTCACTTAGAAATGTCCTTGTTTTCTAAAGAAAATGTTAATGTTGTAAATGACTATTGTAGCTGGAAACGGCTGATTTTTAATGGAATATTTACATAGGCGTACAGAGGCCCATTATCAGCAACCATCAGTCCTGTGTTCCAATGGGACGTTGTGTTTGCTAATCCAAGTGTATCATTTTAAAAGGCTAATTGATCATTAGAAAACCCTTTTGCAATTATGGAATAGCCTTCATTTCTCAGAACAAAAATAGACTGACGAGTTTCAGAAGAAGGTTCTTTGTTTCTGGCCATTTTGAGCCTGTAATCGAACCCAAAATTGCTGATGCTCCAGATACTCAACTAGTCTCAAGAAGGCCAGTTTTATTGCTTCTTTAATCAGCACAACAGTTTTCAGCTGTGCTAACATAATTGCAAAAGGGTTTTCTAATGATCAATTAGCCTTTTAAAATGATAAACTTGGATTAGCAAACACAACGTGCCATTGGAACACAGGACTGATGGTTGCTGATAATAATCCTCTGTACGCCTATGTAGATATTCCATTAAAAATCTGCCGTTTCCAGCTACAATAGCCATTTAAAACATTAACAATGTCTACACTGTATTTCTGGTCAATTTGATGTTATTTTAATGGACAAAAAATTTGATTTTCTTCCGAAAACAAGGACATTTCGAAGTGAACCCAAACTTTTGAACTGTAGTGTGTATATATATATATATATATATATATACATGTGTGTGTGTATGTATGTATGTATGTATGTATGTATGTATGTATGTATGTATGTATGTATGTATATATATATATATATATATATATATACACACACTGAACAAAAATATAAATGCAACATGCAACAATTTCAAATATTTTACTGAATTACAGTTCATATAAGAAAATCAGTCAATTTAAATAAGTTAATTAGACCCTAATCTATTTTCACATGACTGGACAGGGGTCCTTGGAGGACATAGGCCCACCCACTTGGCAGCCAGGCCCATCCTCTGGGGAGCCAGGCCCAACCAATCAGAATTAGTTTTCCCCACAAAAGGGTTTTATTACAGACAGAAATACTCCTCAGCCTTTTATTGGCCCCAGCACAAGATGCACCTGTGTAATGATCATGCTGTTTAATCAGCTTCTTGATATGCCACACCTTTCAGGTGGATGGATTATCTTAGCAAAGGAGAAATGCTCACTAACAGTGATGTAAACGAATTTGTGCACAACATTTGAGAGAAATAAGCTTTTTGTGCAAATTTCGGGGATTTTTTTTTCAAACATTGAACCAACACTTTACATGTTGCGTTTATATTTTTGTTCAGTGTATATATACACGATATGTATAAAAGTATGTGGACACCCCTTCAAATTAGTGGATTCGGGTAATTCAGCCACACCCATTGCTGACAGGTATCAAATTTAGCACACAGCCATGTAATCTCCATAGACAAACATTGGCAGTAGAATGGCCTTACTGAAGAGCTCAGTGACATTCAACGTGGCACCGTCATAGCTGCCCTGGTCAACTGTAAGTGCCGCTATTGTGAAGTGGAAACGTCTAGGAGCAACAACGGCTCAGCCGCGAGTGGTAGGCCACACAAAGCTCACAGAATGGGACCGAAGAGTGCTGAAGTGCATAGCGTGTAAAAATCGTCTGTCCTCGGTTGCAACATTCACTACCGAGTTCCAAACTGCCTCTGGAAGCAACATCAGCACAATAACTGTTAGTCGGGAGCTTCATGAAATGGATCACCATGCGCAATGCCAAGTGTTGGCTGGAGTGGTGTAAAGCTCGCCGCCATTGAACTCTGGAGCAGTGGAATTATGAATTACGCTTCACCATCTGGCAGTCCAACGGACTAATCTGGGTTTGATGGATGCCAGAAGAACACTACCTGCCCCGATGGGTAGTGCCAACTGTAATGTTTGGTGGAGGAGGAATAATGGTCTGGGGCTGTTCATGGTTCGGGCTAGGCCCCTTAGTTCCAGTGAAGGGAAATCTTAACGCTACAGCCTACAATGACATTCTAGACGATTCTGTGCTTCCAACTTTGTGGCAAAGGTTTGGGGAAGGACTTTTCTTGTTTCAGCATGACAATACCCCGTGCACAAAGCGAGGTCCATACAGAAGTGGTTTGTCAAGATCGGTGTGGAAGAACTTGACTGGCCTGCACAGAGCCCTGACCTCAATCCAATCGAACATCTTTGGGATGAATTGGAATGTCGACTGCGAGCCAACATCAGTGCCCGACCTCACTAATGCTCTTGTGGCTGAATGGAAGAAAGTCCCCACAGCAATGTTCTAACATCTAGTGGAAAGCCTTCCAAGAAGAGTGGAGGCTGTTATAGCAGGAAAGGAGGGACCAACTCCATATTAATGCCCGTTATTTTTTTGACGATAAGTGTCCACAAACTGTTGGTCATGGAGTCTGTATATATATGTGTGTATGTATATATGTATATATATATATATATATATATATATATATATATATATATATATATATATATATACACATATATATATATATATATATATATATATATATGTGTATATATATATGTATTTGTGTATGTATATGTGTGTGTGTGTGTGTGTGTATGTGTGTATGTATACAGTGAGGGAAAAAAGTATTTGATCCCCTGCTGATTTTGTACGTTTGCCCACTGAAAAATAAATGATCAGTCTATTATTTTAATGGTAGGTTTATTTGAACAGTGAGAGACAGAATAACAACAACAAAATCCAGAAAAACGCATGTCAAAAATGTTATAAATTGATTTGCATTTTAATGAGGGAAATAAGTATTTGACCCCCTCTCAATCAGAAAGATTTCTGGCTCCCAGGTGTCTTTTATACAGGTAACAAGCTGAGATTAGGAGCACACTCTTCAAGGTCCCCCTGCTCAAGAAAGCACATATACATGCCCGTCTGAAGTTTGCCAATGAACATCTAAATGATTCAGAGGAGAACTGGGTGAAAGTGTTGTGGTCAGATGAGACCAAAATGGAGCTCTTTGGCATCAACTCAACTCGCCGTGGTTGGAGGAGGAGGAATGCTGCCTATGACCTCAAGAACACCATCCCCACCGTCAAACATGGAGGTGGAAACATTATGCTTTGGGGGTGTTTTTCTGCTAAGGGGACAGGACAACGTCACCGCATCAAAGGGACGATGGACGGGGCCATGTACCGTCAAATCTTGGGTGAGAACCTCCTTCCCTCAGCCAGGGCATTGAAAATGTGTGTGGATGGGTATTCCAGCATGACAATGACCCAAAACACATGGCCAAGGCAACAAAGGAGTGGCTCAATATGAAGCACATTAAGGTCCTGGAGTGGCCTAGCCAGTCTCCAGACCTTAATCCCATAGAAAATCTGTGGAGGGAGCTGAAGGTTCGAGTTGCCAAACGTCAGCCTCGAAACCTTAATGACTTGGAGAAGATCTGCAAAGAGGAGTGGGACAAAATCCCTTCTGAGATGTGTGCAAACCTGGTGGCCAACTATAAGAAACGTCTGACCTCTGTGATTGCCAACAAGGGTTTTGCCACCAAGTACTAAGTCATGTTTTGCAGAGGGGTCAAATACTTATTTCCCTCATTAAAATCCAAATCTATTTATAACATTTTTGACATGCGTTTTTCTGGATTTTTGTTGTTGTTATTCTGTCTCTCACTGTTCAAATAAACCTACCATTAAAATTATTGACTGATCATTTCTTTGTCAATAGGCAAACGTACAACATCAGCAGGGGATCAAATACTTTTTTCCCTCACTGTATATATGTATATATATGTGTGTATGTATATTTGTGAATACTGGGTTGAGGAAGGTGATGATATAGGTTTTAAATGAAGAATACAACTATCATAACTTGGCTTGTAACTTTACCACTCTCCAAAAGACAAGATGTGTACACTAATACATTCACCATTGTCTCTTATCACATGCAGAGGTATGTTTAGGAAAGGCCCCAGTTGGATTGTAATGTAAATAGTGGTAGAGTGTTTTTATATATGAGAGAAGAACTGGAGGTAACGTGCCAGTATTATATGCAACTTATGTGCAGCTCCATTTGAACATGTGAAACCCATCTTTCAACACTAGACTCCTTTCTGTAACCATTAGGATATGACAAAAATAAACATAGAACATAATCTGTTACATACTCAAGCTAAATATGAGTGACATTGAACCTGGGCCAAAATACATGTATGTGCATTAGTAAAGCATGCAATAATATTTTTTTGTTTTCAAACTTTGAGATTATGCCATTGTAGTAATAATAATAATAATAATAATAATAATAATAATAATAATAATAATAATAATGAATTTATGTTAATAATAAACACAGAGCATTATTCGCTGGAGATAATGGAAGCGAACCAGAGAGAAAAACAACATAGCCATCTGATTTGATTGTTTGACAGCTCTTGTGCTTCTCAAAGCCAAGGAGCTGGAATAAGTACATCTTTCCCAAATCAGAGAGGACATTTTGTACAGTACCAGTCAAAAGTTTGGACACAGCTACTCATTCATGGGTTTTTCTTTATTTTTAAAATTTTCTA